TTCTAGAAAATTCTACGATTTTCTAAAAAAATTCAAGAAAATTCAAGGTAATGCTCCGATTTTCTACTAAATTGCATGAGGTTCGCCGATTTTCTCATAAGTTCGGAAGAATTCTACGGTTATCTAGGAAATTCGATGAAATTCATCGATTTTCTAATAAATTCGGGGGAATCCTCCAGTTTTCTAGAGAATTCGACAAACTTCTCCGTTTTTCGAGAAAATTCTCCAGTTTATTAAAGAATTTGCGAAAATTCTGCATTTTTATAAAAAATTGGAGAAAATTATCCAGTTTTCTGAAAACTTTCTTCAAAATTCATTACATTCACGTAGAAAAATTACTTCATTTGCATTTTTTTTTTTCTCCATGGTAAGTCGAATTCGTCCCCAACCACCAAGAATTGGAAATTCGATTTTTAACTTCCCGACCCGAAGGGAGGACGTTATTGTAATGACCCCGAAAATCGAATGTGGAATTTCGATGATTTCACATTTTCACATTTCTCGATCTTCGGAATCATCCTGATATATTTTTGAAGCATGTCTGTATGTGTGTGTGTGTGTGTGTGCGTGTGTGTGTGTACGTATGCGACCAAAATTTTGTCCAACGATATCTCCTGATCGAATGAAGCGATTGATTTGTTTCTTCCTTTAAACGATGCGTATTCATATAACTTAGAACTCATTAATTTATAAAAATAATTGACTCAGCGGTTTTTTATTTATCCCCATAAAACTTGCAAAAAAAATGCCAAAAACCGTTAATTTCATAGAAATTCGACCATTTTACCTAAGATAACGATGGGATTTAAATTAATTTTATGTAGTCGATGTGTCTTCACATAACTTGATTCTCATTGGATTTTGAGTGAAATCGCCTCAGTGGTTGTTGAGTTTTTTGAATAAAACTTTCGAATTTTGCAATTAAAAAAAAGGGAAAATTGGAAAATTTTAGAGTGAGTTAACTTTGCAGTTGTAAATTTTTAAGTGGATCAGCTTCGGAGTTAAGACAATTTTGAAGTGGGTCAAGTAAAGTGGGTTTAACTCAAACTTGATTGAAGTTTGTGTTAACTTAAATTGCAAATGCGTTCTTTGCGAAATTACCCTAAGGGTAATGCCATGTAATGTCCAAAATTTTGTACTAGAAACTTTAAGGCTAGAATAATTTTATGTGAAATCATTAAGAACGAAACCAACAATTGTAAACTAAATTGAGTGCATTTCATCACTTGAACTAGATTAAAAATTCCAAAGACATTGGAATCAAGTTCAAAAGTGATGAAATGGCACACTCAGTATGCCCCAATGACCCAATACTAAGATTCGCATGCGAAGGAACGATTGAAAACCGATTACATGAAACCCTAAAAGCTGAATGAACTACTTCCCCATAAAAATCAAAAGAGTGGAAAAAGTCATACGACATTTTCCACCAATTAAAAATGGACTCGTTGGAGCCCATGTGACAAGTGACCCCAAAATTCATATAAAAATGTCAGAAAAACCAAAATTAAGCAGTCTTGAAGCAGCAACGGAGCAGTAACAATTCTGGTGGAAATAGTTCATTTAATCGATCCGGTTTTTCAATCCTTCCTTCGATTACGCGGGATAGTACTGAATTAATAGTAAGTTACCAACCATTGAAATTATCCGGGAATAAAATTTCTTTAATCGAGAGTGGTGACTTTTCTTACAAATAAGGAATTCGTTCATTGTGACGCGTTGTGGACAGTCTCAAACAAATTCTTAAAATCTTAAAATTCAACTGTCAAAATTCATTAAAATATTAACGAGTAGAAGCAAGTGTTTCCGTGAAAGTATCCATAATAGCCTTTAATACGTCTAATTGCTGGTGAGGAAATTACGGGTTTACCCAGGGATCTACAAACACATCGAATAATTTATAAATAACAGACCGAATTGTGAGTAACAACATTTGTGAACCCAAATTTGAATCCTTCAGATCATTCCAGGGATAGGAATTTTAACTACATAGATTTCTGTAAAATCACGCTTATGTTTTTGTGAACCGAATAATTATACAAAATATATTTAAATTCAAATTTGATTCCCATTACAACTCCAAATTTCTTGATTAGTAATTAGTCTCAACTCAAGCCCTATCCCTAAATCAAACCCTTTTCCTTTATATTTCAGAAAAAGGTAAGAGTATAAAACTTTGCGTCGTCCAATAATTATAAAATCTAATAATTTTAGCTTTGATTTTAATGTGACAATTAAAACATGTCCTTTCGACGCTAAAATCTTTCTCCGGACATAACAGCCACAATGGATGCAACGCTAAACGCATGCAACGCATGCAATACTTATCCAAATGTTTTCCAAATATTTCTGACATTGACTAGCGTTGCGAATAGCGTGCGCTGCATTCACTGTGGCATGACCCCAGCGTTTATTAAGTCTGCGAAGAAACTTTCCTTCTATGGGTATTTCCTCGGAGAAATGTGAGAAAAAGATTGAATAAATACATAATAAAAAAATTGATGAAAGAAAAAGCAAATGGTCGGGAAGTTATTGGTGCGACTCGTAATGGGTCACACCCAATTCCACCAACCCCTACCGGTCATACCCCAAACAGGGAGCGCGCGAAGCACGCGACCGGGCCTGATTTTTTAAAATAGAATCAGTCAAAAACTAATAGAATTTTCAATAGAAGTTTTCTGTAGAAATATAGATTTTCCTATGAAATTGTTTCATGCGTGATGTCCAAAATTTCGTTCAAAACTAGACGATGTTCATTACTGCTAAGCCTTTTAAATTTTTGGATTCTGAATGGAAGCTTTGTAATTGTTAGTTTGAATGAGCTTTCAATTTCGCCTGGAAATAATCTCAAATATCATAGTACATCTAAGAATTAATTGGGCGACGTTTGAATACATATTCGAAATTTTGGTTAGTAATTTTCATCTATCCTCTCTTTGAAAAATACGATTGTAACTGAACCGATTCGTATTAATTAATATTGATTCTCAATACAATCAGCATTTTTCATTTGAAAAAAAAAATGGAGAGACTCGAACTTGAAAACTCGGTGGCCGTAGGCAAGCAATTATGCAAGCCTTTAATGCGCTCGGCCACGGCGATATAAAAATAATTAAAAAATTCGAAACTTATATAAAAAACAACTTGGCCTTTTACGAGTGAGGATTAAGAGGTCTTGAAGGGAGATACGTGAAAGACATCACCGGACTAAGAAAATGATGAAGAATGAGTAGAGTACTCGGATCTCCGAAACAGAGCATCAATAGAGGCCACGTCGGTCAGGGAGATCAAAAAGAGAACGAAGGGAGAATTCCGATCCCCGGAAGAGTTTGCGACGAGACCTGGGAGCTCCAAAAAAGGTCTCATATTTCGATTCGAGGAGTCGAGCGGCCGAGTGGCCGAGTGCCGAGTGGATTGGTTTGATTACGTTGGGTCGATATCGATTGGTAATCGTCCATCGATGGTTGACACCAGTGATCCACCTGATACTTATTTTCAATAATTTAAAAAAATAATAAGTGCATCCTTCTTCTATTATTTAATTTCCATGATTAAGCTAATACTTGCTAAAGGACCCAGTAACTGTTGATAATTGAGTGAAGTTGTACTTATCAATACGGAAAATGAAGACCTTTTTTTCACCTAGATGATTCATAGAAATCGAAAAATTTTCATCATTATAGTTGTCTACCTCACTTGATTGTTACTATAAGTTTACTATTATAAGCATTTGGCCTTTTGAATTATTGCGCTCGGTTTCCTTTCTCGACCGTGACCCTAATGAGGATTTGACCCTTAGGATAGATTGATTCTCATTCCCTTTTCACCCTTATTAATTTCCGGCATTCAAAGTTTGAATGGCCATTTGATGTTTAACCGATATTTGGACAGGAGTCAGCGGGCAAGACTTGGCATGTCTATTCTAGGCCGAGGTTTGGCTAATTTAACAGCATCGGTAATTCGGACCCGGAATAGCTCGATTCTAGTACCATAGTTTTGGATTTCCGTACCATTTTCTGGAAACCAAAAACTTCCTTTATTTGTTTTCATCATTGAAAATTTCTTATATTTTCGTTTGAAATATAAGTTGAAAGGAATTTAACCTCTCATAGCCTCTTCTCTTAACATGTGTAGCGGGCACTTCATACAACTCGAATTCGATTATTTTGAATGAATAGAAAATCCTGAAAGTGATATCTATTTGAAGCTACAGTTTTTTGGTTTCCAATTTTGTTTTGCTGGTCACGTTATTTTTCATAGCTTTAGAAATAATCAATTCTGAAAGAAAGCGTTCATATTTGCATGGGTTGATACGATGTATCAACCCCGTACATGAGTGGTTAAAAGACTGCATTCCACGTGGTTGACGTCCAACCGCGAGAAAGAATCGAATAAAACCTTTTAAACTTCTTATAGGAACTACAGTGTCAGATTTTGACAGAATATCATCCTACGAGTATTTACAGACTTGTTGCTATATACAAATACTATCCAAAAATATTTCGATGGTTGCGAAATATTCGGGACTTTACCACAGAAAATTACCTGCATGCATCTTTATGGGCAGACATATATTCGAGCTGGATAGTTACATGATAGATAGTTGCATTTCATGAGTTAAAAAACAGGTGTTCATATTTCTTGGCTTTGTATTTGTGGACAGAATGTATGGAAACAAATTTCTAGCAAGAGAAAAGAAAAAACAAGAATCGTCCAGCTTGACTACAAAATGTTGAAGGACGTTAATTGGAATTATTTGACATCTTTTCAGCCTCACGGGTAATTGTAAATTATTGTGTAAAGTCGTTTATGAATAACTTTTTTTTTTCAATTCCTCGATAGTTTCAATTATTCCTCCGTATAATAGCCACTAATGGATGATTGATGGTAGTAATTTTACAGTATGATCCATGCACTTATGACAGTCACGGTAACTTTCATTATTCTCTGATTATATAGAAAACTTCCTCATCGCTTACCTGGTACAATACGAACCACCGAAGTTGCCACTTGTTCGAGTCAGCGTTACGTTTGTGTAAATAACCAGCGAGGGAATGATCGAAATGGGCTCTTTCAGATAGCATAAGTATCTGCGAATCGTTTACCCTGACTGCAATAAAAAAAATTATTATTACCTAAACAACTCCTCAGGAGTCTGAATAGAAAACCATATTTTTTTTCTCTTCAAAGGAAAAAAAATACTTACCAGTTTTTTGCATCTTTGGACTGAGCATGATTATCACTTGAATATCGAAATTGAATTGTCTTAATAGTAATTGATGATTGTCAGCATTACCATGTGCTTGTATGCCAACATGGAATTTGAATTGTGTGTATAGATTTCCGGAGAAACGGGCAACAGGTACTAGATCAATCTATCGAATATTCTGTGAAAAGTGGAAGAAAAAATTCAGTATTCAATATAGTTCTTCCCTTGAAATATTTAAATATATTTCGACTTATATAACAATTTCTACAGTTCCCATAAAGATGAGTCTTGAAGACACGTAAATAATACACAAAAGAATAGGAATGGGCTTTTTGGTAACATAGTCAATTTAGTTGACTATGTTACCATACTAGAACACTAGTCACTAGTCATACTTTAGTTGACTAGTTATCATATGTAATACCAGGAGACCTTTAAAACTATCGGGTATTTCCCGATAGGTTCGTTGCAGACAAACGAAGGAGTCAAGTTTTGCAGACTAAAAAATCACGAGTGCGAAGCATACATGAGTGATTTTTCCTGCAAAACTTGAAGACTTCTTTTGTATGCAGGGAACCGTGAGGGAAATACCTGATTAATTTTGAAGTTCGAGGGGTATTCGGGAGAGAATTTTTCCATCCAAATTTCGGCCAAGGGAATTGCACCATGAGACGAAATCAATCTGTCACTGTCAGCGAACGGTTCACTCAATTGAATAATCATTTGTTTTTTTATGTAGCAACTACCAGAGAAAATTATCAAAAAATTATCAATTGTAATACCACAAGAGCTTCAAAATTATCGGGTATTTTCTGATAGGTTCATTGCAAACAAACGAAGAAGTCAAGTATTTCAGGTTTTTCCTGAAATACTTGACGACTTCGTTTGTATGCAGAGAACCTTGAGGAAAATGCCCGATTAATTTTGAAGCTCGTGTGGTATTCGGGGATGATTTTTTCCAATCCAAATGTCGGGCAATATAATTGGACCTTGAGACGAAACTCACAATTGAGAAAAGAAAATTGTATAATTAACACAACAACACAATTGAATTCAATCTGTCAGTTTGACGAGGGGTTAATTCGACTGCATCATGTTTTGTTTTTTAGATAGCAACTAGCAGAGAAAATTATCAAAAAATTATCAGTTGAAACCCTGTAGCTTGTACCACGTGATGTCGAATGGGCCAATTATATTGCCCGATATTTTTGTTGGAAAAATAATCAGTTTAAAAATTATCAGACTACCCTATAGGTTGTATCACGTGACGTCGAATTCTATTGGCTGATATGTGGATGGGGAAAATTCTCATATATATTTCAATGAAAATACTACGCAAAATACTATTATCATTTTTTTAAAAACTGTCCATTCCAATTTTAAAGCAACCATTGAATTTCATCCATCATGCAATATAGGAACTGGAGAAACAATTCAGTGATATTGATTCCTCGTATCTGAACCGGTTGCGTTTCAAATGAAACCATAGTGTAATAACTGGCTATACTCCAATCACCTTCTGAAAAAATTTTCTCTGCAAATATCAATGTGTCTACTTTATACAATCAATAATTAATAAATTTAAGCCACATGAAACTCTGGTATATCGAAATAAATGATACTGATTCTTTACTACTAATCTTTGCGTTAACTAAAATTAGTATAATGATTGATCCGATCACCACGTATGATGAAGAGAGTAAGGGTGAGTCCAGCAAAAAATAATGATTCGAGAATACCCTGATTGAACACAGTTACTCTTCGGCTTTCTATTTCCTTTAGATTTAAACTACAGGTGAAGATGTAGTAAAATCCACATAATGAGATGTGAAATGAAAAATTATTTTCTCATCGTGCAACACATGTTGATCGTAGTAGCTCCCAAAGTGGATAATACTTAAAATGACGTTTAAGGTCATATTAAACAGATGATATCATCAATAAATTGAATACACTACTTGATTCTCATGTTTTGTAAGTCTCAATTAAAGAAAAAAATTTAACTTTTAAGAAATTAATGGAAACGTCATCAATTGTATAATGAAATACTATTTTATACTCTTTTCTTCCAATGTCTGATGATCCACACTTGTGTGTTGAGAAGAACATATAAGAACAAATAAGATAAAAAACATTCAAGCCTTTTAAATATTATTATTACCTTAAACGATCCTCATTATCATATAATACATGTTTTCCACTTAATTGCAACAACGATTGTATACTTTATATTAACCTGAGTACAGATTTTTGTATTTATGAACAATATTTTAAATAAATATCCTCAGACTCTCATATATTCATTTATTGTACCACCGAATTTTTATAAATTTGAATAACGAACGATTGGAGACGAGAAGATTGAGCAAGAAATAAGTGATGATTCAGCGTTGAATATTCCGTTTTATTAATTCAATTATTCATTATCCGAAAATTACTGAAGTTGTAGAGGAAAATTGTCGATTTTACGCGCGCCATAACCCACAAGTGATACATGTTTATCATGACCGGTTACCGATCTCATGTTTGGAAGATGAGTATATAGTGTAAATGGACGAGGGACGGATGATACAACTTCGGGGGTCGCGACGAACCTGCGAAGCAAGTCACGTCGTGTACGCTATAGACCTCGTTGTCAACCCCTAGAAAGTGGCGTTTCGCTCTCCTGTATCATTGCGCAGGTCTAATATTTAGTCGCTCCATCCATCGCTGACCCCTGGCTGAATACGAGGATGGCTTGGCGTAGTCCCTGCCATCGTGTTACCTTCGGCAAGAGTTTTAAACACTATGTGCATACTGAGGGGAGACAACTTTCTCTTCTCCCCTGCCCCTTCGTCCCTTGCTAATTGCTCCCACCGTACTTCGGATTTGGACCTGATGTTTCGTTTCCAGTGTAGTAATGAATCGGTGAGCAAATTCCCGGTGGTGAACGAAACTCTAGCCCCTCAGGTTTCCTATAACCTTTCGAATTATTGATGCGATGAAATTAATAATGAGATCCTATTTCAGTGATATGGGTGATTCTCTGCAAACTGTGATTTTTCACCTCGCACATTTTTCAAAATCTGAATATGCCTGTAGAGTAATTTTTTTACGTTTCTATATATCATAATGGTCCAGAAGTATAATGCTAGCACCACTCTACTACAAATTTAAAAGATTCAGAATAATAGAATGTTACGGATTTCTTACTGCCACGGTGGTGACCAAACTTAACAAGCCTTCGTATTTCAATCAAGGAATTTAATTTTTTGATGATAGAACAAGTATATTGATTTATTTGACCTCTTTCGAGTATCATATATTCATTTGCAGAGATCATTTTGGGTATTTTCAACAATCAATTCTGACACAGCACAGGTGTATTCAGCGGTTGTTGACAACGCACCTGGGTGTTACTCCGAGTTTGAGCTATTTAAACACCTAAAACATTTTTCTAAATACCTTAGTGATGATATATAACTTGACTCCCACACGTTTATGTATGATATGACACGGTTGGGATAGCCACGGTTGTGACATTCTGTGTTAAAACCTAATCACACTTCGCGCCAGCTTTGAATTGAAAGCTCTCTCAAGATGATGAGTTTCAGGCAATGGAATGTTATTTTTTAATGAAAAAAATTAGCTAAGAAATTATACCACATGTAACAATCATGAGACCACGATAGTGACAGAATAATTTGTGACTTATATTTTTCATCTCTCGAATAGTCTTTCCTGGATGTGCACATGTGTCTAGTTAATTTGTAAAAAAACTGGGCCAAGAAAGAGTTTTGTTTGATTCCTACTGGGAAGTCGGAGTTTTTGAAAAATACATACAAATAAAAAAGGAAGCCAAGTCAGGAATTTTGAATGAATGGTGATAATACACAATCAGGTTTCTATAAGAAAAATAGTTCTCAATAGAATAAGTGTTCTAAAAAAATTCTCCATGAAATGAAAAATCAGTAGGAGCACGACCAACGGCCTTGGCGCGGATCAAAGAATGGATTAGATTGATACAGAAAGTGAGTTGAAAAACTCCGCGCCAAGAACGTTGGTCCTGTTCCTACTGATTCATTATTTCATGGAGATTTTTTTTAGAATACTTATTCCATTGAAAACTATTTTCCTTATAGAAACCTGATTGTGCACTATCACCATTTATTCAAAATTTCTGACTTGGCTTCCTTTTTTATTTCTATGTATTTTTCAAAAACTTCGGCTTCCCAGCAGGAATCAAACAAAACTTTTTCGTGGGCCAGTTTTTTTACAAAAACGTTTGGTTTTGTGTTTATAGGCAGATTTCATAATTTTTTTCAAAATAAGCAAGGACAAGTATTTCAATTCAATTTAACTCATTCATTTTTCATAAGATAGAACATTTCTTGAATCAACAATTGAAGGGAAATAAACAGTTCTACTCCAGATTTATTGTCTCCATTGAATTTCAATTTTTAATCATCCATTAATAATTTTCTGACTTGATTTGGTTCCTCATTCAATTTTTGCTTTGATGATTCCTATGTGGATTGTATTTCTTGGAGAGATGAATTGATTTCCTTATAGGAATAGTCGAACAAAATGTTCACGAAGAATACTTTTTGAAAACATTTTTTTTTTTTTTTTTTTTTTAACAATATTAGGGAAACATTGGGTGGAATGGACTCTTCTGACTTCTTGCTTTAATATTCGTAACCAAGGAACAAATTTATCGATTGAGCTCAGTCTAAACTTTTTACAAAGGGCCTGACTGTACGTTCATTTAAAAAAAAATTCTATTTCATCAACACTTTAATAAGACATCATCATTTTGAAAAGGGTTCAAGGGTTCAAAGTGTCCATTTAATCCCACCGTCTCCTACTAATGTTTCCGAAATAATCACAAAATTCTTCGCATTTCACTGTCACTTAATTTAGGGAATTTTTTTGCACGGAATGAAAACATTTTCTGTTACACTCGGAGAACAATAAATATTTTCTTTTCGAATTTAACTATTCACGGACATTTAATACTAGATCACACAATATTTTCGACACGTCTCACTTTTGTCACATTTCCAAACATAAACCGATAATCTCATAAACAGTGCATAACTACCTTTATGTCCGAGGTCCGCATATGAATATGGATATGGCGGGATGAAATTCGAATTTTTGACGAGAGAAAACAAAATAGAACAGCGAGTCGATTTTCCGTTTCATTCTAATAAGTGATTTAACGTGAAGAAGAACATTTCCTGTGGTTTTCCATAACAACATCACAACCCACATTCAAATACACTGGTGGCAACACTTCAACGTTGGATACGAGGCTCAGTTGGCCCGGCGCTGCCAACGTTACAACTTAATTCTCCGACTTTATAATGTGAATCGCGAGAATGTGAATATCAACCCGTTGCTATGCGCGTATCTTTGTTACTGTTAACTAGGCAAGACGCGCGCTTCGCGCGCACTAGTAGCTAGGCTGGGTGGTTCTGATACGGAATTCGACACTAAAGAACTGATGGAAATATTTGTATCTATTCTTCAATCTAGAATTCTTGAGTCAAATTCTTGATTGCATCAACTGATCGAATTCACTTGACAATAGAACCAATAAGAAACTACATCAAAATTGCAATGATCCCAGCGAATGGAACCAATGTAATGTCTATACACAGGAAAAAATTCTTGATTTAAATCGAATTTTAAGCCCCCAATCGAACCGATTAAGATTTAATCAAATCAAGAATCATACCAAGTAGATTTCACTAATTTGTACTGATTATATCCAAACAAGTCATAGTGATTTTTTTTAAATAGAAATATCAATTTTCACCTAAAACTTTCATAAGTCTGCAAAAAATGGCTGAAATAAAGTGGTTAATCTCTCAATTTGGAGCTTAGTCTATGAGCTTCATATCGGACATAGAATTTCTACGAGTTATTCTGCGAGAAAGATACTAGCTCGGGACAAAACACTGAAATAACAACTTTCCAATTTGCGACTTACAAAATTTGACACATACACCATATAGCATACAACCCGCATCGTCACAATTGGAAGAACGAAAAATGCCTTCTAAGGATGACCTATTGATTTCTCCGCTGATTCGACTCAAAACGCTAGAAAAATTCATCGCAATTTGAATTTTCGAATAACCCATGGAGGAATAAGTGTTTGTCAAAAAATCTCATGAGTCAGCGAAAAATGAGCTTCACAACTGATATGCGATTTCTACTGATAATCAAGTCAAAAAATAATAATTCACGACAAAACGATGAGAAAATGTGAAATTTTAAATTTGTGACATGCTAAAGTCGAAAAATAATTATCTATAACAATGGATCAAGTAGACGGAATGAAGAAAAATCATACGTAATTTTGAAGATCTCATTGAGATCTTCAAATTGGTGTGAAATAAATCTACATTGGCCAAGTACAAAGGTCCAAAAATTAATGAAAAGGCCGAATTTTGGGGTGTGACATGAGCTTCGAAACAGCAACAATCTCCAATAACTTCATGAAAATTCAATCAAATCGTATTCGTAATCGTTCTATACATCACAATTTGAAGAACCAATTATACCCTTCAAGATGATACACTGACTTCCCCGCTGATTCAACTCAAAGAGATAGAAAAAACCAGCCAAAGTTGAATTTTCAAGTTAAAAGCGAAAAAAAATTTTCTTGCAATAAAAGAAAAAAAATGAAGAAAAATAATAATTTTCTGCCTATAAGTTCCATAGTGAGAATGAGAAATGACCAGAATTCAATAATTCGAACAATTTTCATGTTGTATTTCCAACTTACCAAAAACAATGTGAATAGTTCTTATACATACCGATAGAGGTAGAATGGTCCTTTAAAAGCGCTCTTTCCAATTCCAGTAGTTCGCAAGGATTGATGTTTGAATAAGTAATTGAATACAAAAACGTACTGAAAAGTCAACTGAACAATTGAAAAAAAGTAGATAGTAAATCCATGTACACCGGTGTATAGTTGGTAAAACATGAGATGAGTGTATTCTCTTTTACCAGTAAAAAATATATGTATTCATGACATTTAAACTCCATGTAGTTCACGATGTCAATTCGTCTGTTAATTACCGGTGAACGAAGGTAAGTCTTGCTCAAGGAAAAACTTATCAGTTGATTTAAAACTTATAACTACTAAAACGTATAACTACTAAAAACTTGAAACTTGAAGTCGATTGTGACTCGATTGACCTCATATTGTCTAAGTAAATCGACCCACAGACGATGAGTTATTCAGTCGTTTCATATTAGTTTCTTATACTTAGCAAACGAATCGACTCGCTACCAAGTCGATGGTAGCTCGATCGTCATCATTATTCAAGTCAATCGACCAACAATCGAATAGTTTAGTCATTTCATAAGAGTTTCAATAATTTCAGTGGGCGAATCGACTGATCGTTAAGTTGATTGGAATTCGATTGTCCTCATTATTCAAGTAAATCGACGCACAAACGTCTAGTGGTCTAGTCGTTTGATAATAGTTTTTATAATTTAAGTGGGCAAGTCGACTGATCCTTGAGTGGATTGTGTTTCGATTGTCCTCCTCATTAAAGTAAATCGACCCGCAAACCTCTAGTGG